AATTAAATTTTAATCTACTTAGTCTTAAAATTTAAATTATTCTATTATTAAAATATTTTTTTCATCAATGTACGTAAATTGAACACGAAGAATACTTATTATTTCTCTTCAATGTTTGATTTGCAAAATTTTAAAACTATTTATTTTAAAATTTAGTGAGACTTTTAGTTTAATTTCATTTCATTTCATTTATCTATCCATTTTATTTATTAATTTTTATTTTTATGCTCCCAAATTAAAATATTTATTTTCATTTAAAACATTTAAATCGTGTTTGTATCTTTTTATATTTATTTTAGTGCAAAAAGTAAAGGCGTTAATGTAATATAAATTGTATTAAAATGGGTCTCATTACTAAAGGTGTTACTTGTGATATTTTTTGTGCTTTTCATGAGAGGAACTACACGTGGACATCATAATTATAGCAACTTGGTTGGGTATGTGGGAAATTCAATAATTTTGCAGTAGAAAGTACAACTGTTCTAAGCTGAAAATTTTGGTAAAATGACAAAAATGCCCTTGGTCGTCCTCCTCTTCATGTTTCTGTATAATAGAAACTAGATTTATGGATCCGTGCTAGCACGAGCCCAATATGTGTTAATTCATCTATCGAGTTTTATTGTCATGTTACGTTTTTCTAAAGTTAATTTGACTGATTTTCAAAGTTAAATTAGACTACATTAATTCGATATTTTAAACAAAAAATTTAGATACTCAAAAACTATATGAAAAGTACTATAAATTCAATTTTTTTGCATATCAATATGACAAAAAATACATCGTAAAATATTAATCAAAGTTATAACGTTTGACTCTAAAAAATGAAACTTGATAATTAAAAGTGGACGAAGACAGTATTTTTTAGTTTTAATTTATGTGAAATAAATAGAATTTGAAAAGTCAATTAAATTTTAATATGATATTTAGATATTTTAAGTCGTTAACTATTGTAATTTATGAAACTATGACAATTAAAAGTGGACGGAGACAATAATTTTTAGTTTCAATTTATGTGACATAAATAAAATTTGAAAAATCAATTTAGTTTTAATATAATATTTAGATATTTTAAGTCGCTAACTATTATAATTCTCTGTAGGTCGAGCTTCCTTTTCAGCCCCTCTCACGATGAAAAAAGTGGTTAACTATCAGCCCTAGCCTCTGTCCGACCAATCATTCCGCTGGCATCTCGCATTCACGCCCCCATTTGACTGCCGCTCGAAAATGTAATTATAGATAAATTAGTCTTAGTGGGTCATTGGCTCCACCTGTTATCTCCTTCTACGACATGCTATTGTCGTTTATAGTACTTGTTTTATATAAGTTTTAAATAATACTCCCTCCGTCCCTTTTTAGTTGTCCACTTTAGAAATGACACACAGATTAAGGCAATAATGATTAGCACAGTGAAGTTACAATTTTACCCTTATGACAACTTTTCACTTCAAAATTACAACCACTTCTTTGAATTCAAGTGAAATAAATTGGAGGAAAACAACATACACTTTTACAATTTTCAAGAAGTGTAAATAAGGGTATAATAGGAAAAAATTTATTGTCCTTTCTTGATTTGTCAAAATGGACAACTAAATAGGGACAACTAAAAAAGAAAATATGGACAACTAAATAGGGACGGAGGGAGGACTATGTTACTCTCTCTATTTCATTTATGTAGCACAAGTAAAAAGAGAGTCTCAAAAAGGAGCGATCACACGTGTATGGAGTACAATGCAAGTGGGCCCACATATTCAGTAAAATTGTCTAGAAGCATTCAGAAGATGAGTACAAAAAAGTTAAAGAATAAAAAATACATAAGTGTATACTAGCCCACAACTTTGCTGTGTGTTTGTCTCTAAAAGGCCAGTATAATTGAAGTCTGGTGAGTAATAGCGTCACATTTTGCTAATGGCTGAATTCAATGATTTTGATTTTAAATTAAATATTTATATTAAATAAAATTATGTCATATAAATAAATAATTATTTAAAATTTAATAAATAAATATATTAAAAATTAAAAAATTTGATTCGCATTTCGTGTTTCAAGATATGAACCTCCAACGATTCTTTTTAATTTACAACTTTCCCCTTGTTGAGATATTTGCATAAATCTTAATTATTGGCATTTTATAGGGTTCACTCCTGGAAGAAAATGATACTCTCGTGTAATTCACAATTCGAACCTAAAGTTTTATTCTATGCATCGAATATAGCTAGAATTTTGATTTCGAAGAATTTTTTCAACAAAAGATATAATGTTTTCGTAGTCTCATCACCTATTTTAATGGAAGCTCAATGATTTATTTTTTTAAAAATGTGAGGAAATCAATGAGGGAAGTAGAAGATAGGACCCAATATAGCACTTATATAGCGAACTAGTTAAATTATTGCACTATATAAGTTAGTCTGCTATGTGAAGCATGTCATCTAGTATTATATCAGTTAGTTTTTTATTATAAATTTTCAAATATTTTTAACAAGTCATTTTTGTATGAAATTATGAGTGAAGGTTTGTGAACTATTTTATTTTTTCACATTATTTTAGTCACTTTTTTTTTCCACAAGCTCCATCATTTCGGTTTTGGACTCTTATTCAAGTTGTATATGTAAATGAATTATGGCAATGATCATGGTTTACATGTGAGAAAATTAATTTACCGTATTTTCAGTACTTGTGCATTTTCTCTCTCATAAATTATTTTTTCATGTATGTCGTATACTAATTTTTTATATATATCATAGAAAAGAATCTTTCATTGTAGGCGTGGACAATTATAGTGGTAAGACTCTTCGATTTTTTCAATTTTTGGTTTTTTTTTTTATTTGTGTGTATTGAATATCGAAATGAATTAATTCGAATCGAGTAAAAAGAAATTAAGTTTAAATTCAGCCTTTTTTTAATTTCATTGCTTCCATATGAATCTGATTAATGCAATATTTTTCTACTCGTAAACTATAGTACATCCAAAACCAAAAAATGAATTCAACAATGCAATGCAGTACAACACAAATAAAGGACTGTTTCTCTATTTTGCAATGAGATTTTTGACGTAGTAATTTAGACTTTTTGGAGAGGTGTTTGGACATGTATTATGAAAATTATGATTGATTAATATATGCGATTTAGGATCATGATTTTATATTTCAAATTTTCTAAAAAAATAATAATCATGATTTGAGATTTCAATTGATGATTTCAAAAATAAATAATGTAAAACTTTGATTCAGAAATTTGTATTTTATATTTTAAAAAAGACTCATGCTCAGTGTGAAAGAGACTGTTCGTATCATGTGAAAGGATTATACTAAAGAATAATTATTGTTGACTAATGAATTTTTACAAAATTATGTGTATTTTAAAATAATCACAAATATTTATTTATAAAAAAACATGAAGTGTGATTTATAAATATATGGTGTCTTATTTTATTCACATATCTTGTTTATGAATTATTGTTGGCGGAATGACCTGCACCAGGTGCAACTATTGTCAGTTGTATGAGGGGTTATTTCGCTGCCAAGTGCATATTATGGGACCACATTTCACTTTCTTTCATTTCCTTTTCTCATCTATTTTTAGCCCTATTTTTTTCTATACTTTTTCTTTCTTTCTTCAAAACACTTTCTTGCATTTTTTTCTACTAGTACTTGTTAACTCTTAACATAATTTTATTTTTGTATGATATTTTTTTTTATTTTTTATTTAGTATTCGATATATGAATTAAAACACGATTATTTAAGATTTGCACTGTGTAGAGTTTTGTTCGAAGTGATATATTGCTCATTAAGAATTTTTCATATTCAAAGCTTGAACTCGAGATCTCTAGTTAAGCGAGAAACAACAACATCTTCTGCCCCATTATTTATTTGAGGAAAAACCAAAGTGGGTGTGTCGAAAAATTTAAATTTGCTTTTTTGGATAAGTTTTAAGGAATTGAAGAAAGTGAAACTACAAAATATTAGTATTTTAAAATCTTGTGTCTTAATTTCATAAAATGTTTTTTTTAAAAAAAATATTTTATAAATGATATATAGAAAATATGAGAACTTAGATAAAAAAAAATTCATTTTTGTGTTCGCTTATAGAAGATCACACATTGTTTTATTATAATTGAATTTTTCACTCTATTATTTACTATTAAATGGTCCGTAAACAATTCACCACTTTAATTCACATGAACTATAAAAATACATATTAAAAAAGATTATGATAGATATTAATCTTCTGAACTCTTGATTCATATTCATGTGTTTGTCTTTATAATAATTAGATTTTTTTGTATTTATTTTCTAATTTGATTTATATTTTTATTTTGATAATGTCAGAAGTGCATTTTATGTTCATTTTTTTTGTATTTGTTAATTAATTATTATTATTATATTATCATATTTTCTATTGAAAAGGACAAAATCGAATAGCCCCCATATAAGAAGAAAATTTGGACTAAGGAGGAGAGAGATTAGAGAAAAAAAGGACCTTTAGGCCATCTTTCTTGCAAGTGGGACCCACAATACACTTTGCAAAGCACAAAAGCACCTCACACAAGTAGTCTGCCACCTAATATTTATGCCTCTCATAGAATAATTATTTTTTTTGCACTTGGCTAATCATTTCACTAAAGAAAATTTAAAAGTTAAATTCTTTCTAATATAGAAATGTGATATTCTTTAAGAAAATTTTAATAGTTTAGCCAGTTGGCTACTTAAATTTTCCACCTTATAATCCTCCATTTTTCCTTTTAATACAACCTTTGAAATTCAAGAGATTTATGAAAATCTTGATTTTCTTTTCTTTTATCCTTTTCTATGAGCTTCTATCTTTTTTTACTTTCGTACTGATTCAAACTCACAATCTTAAGTCAGCGATTTAGGACACCCCACCCCCAAACCGCCCACAATCCCCTCTTATCATGAAAATCTCAGTTAGTTCATCCAATTATAAATAAAACACCAATAAGCACAAATAAAAAAGAAGTCATCTTGATCATAAGAAAAGAATAATGGATGATTTGGAATTAGACTTTGGCCAATTAGATCACTTATTGGACTTTTTTTCTCCTCCTTCTCCTTCTCCTTGTTCTACTAGTACTTTTCATAAAAAACAAGATTCATCAATTATTTCATTACAAACACAAAACTCTAATGATGAAAAGAAGTCAATTATCACCACTACTATTATTGACTATGATCGAATTCAAGATCCCCCTAAAGAGAAAGAGAAGAAGAAAATCCTACGCAAAGATGTTGAAAAACAAAGAAGGCGCGATATGGCTAAGCTTTACCAACGTTTGCGCCTTCTTATTCCTTCCAAGTATCTTATGGTATGTATAACAACAATATTTACATTTAGACGAGTGGCTTGGTATGAAGAAAGATATTTTTCACAAAAAAAATATATCTAACAATAATAAAATGTAAGATTTACGATGTACTAGCTTATATTTTTTTATAAAAAAAATCCTAAAAAATTGTTTTCATTCGTACCAAATGGATTCATGATAGTAAATGTGTTATAATTATGATGTTTCTAGTCAAAAATGGATTAATATATAGTCGAACCATATTGTTGTAAATGTACGAGTATAATTTTTTTGGATTAAGTTAGGCTTGTGGTCCATTTCTTACCATGATATCATAGCTAGGTTAAATGATCTATCTCAGTTCTTTATTTACCTGATGGTGAGTCTCATGTTATATTATCCACGCTACATATATTCAATTTTACATATAAGCTAGAGGATATATTATTAGAGTCTCTAATTGATGCGAGGTCTTAGCCAATTCTCATTTCAAGAATTAGGTTTTATGGTAAACCTTATAGTATAAATCTAATTTTTTTTTTATGATGATATAGGGAAAGAGGGCTATATCTGATCATCTAGAAGAGATTGTGGATTATGTAAAAGACTTGAAGGAGAACATAGAGGATTTGGAAAGAAAAAGAGAAAAGTTGAAAAATATTATTTATAGTAATGATGATGAAGATAAAATAATAGTGAAATTATGCAATGATCAAGTGGAAATTTCAATAAAGGGAGGGCTTTCTCTATCAAAAGTGCTTAAAGTTCTTATGAAAGAAGGACTTATGGTTAATAGTTGTGTTTCCTCAATAGTTGATCACAATCTTCATCACATTATTCAATCTAAGGTAAGTAAGTTACTTAATCTTCTCTTTACTCAATTTTCAACTCTGCGTGTACATTTTATTTTCCTTTCAAAAGAGAAACTAAGTAACAAAAATCAGCTCGATCAACTCAAATCAAGCGAGGGAATAAAATCTCAAAAATATTAATTTTGTGGAACAATAATTAGTAGTTTAACTAATTTGATGTTTAATCAAGAAAAATGGGGGGGGGGGGGTATAAATATATATTTCCTCTGTCCCTAATTACTTGTCCGTTTTTTCTTTTATAGTTGTCCCTAATTACTTGTCCATTTTGACAATTCAAGAAAGGACAATTTTTTTTACCCATTATACCCTCAATTGAATGATTAATTACTTTGAAAAATGTAGAACTTTTCATCCACTTCATAATTAATAGGGGTAAAATGGTAAACTCACTATATCATTAATTGTTTTCTTAATTGGTGTGTCAATTCAAAATGAACAAGTAATTAAGGATAGAGGGAGTATTATAGTACGAATCAAATAAAAGAAAATAAATAATAGTAATAAATAAATGGTTAAACTAAGAGGAAGAATCAAATGACTAGACATTGTTTGACCTATACGGACTAAAAATAAGGCAGATTATTTGTTACTGCAAATATATAAATAATTTATTAGGGTAAAAGTTTTATATACCCAAATATTACTTCTTCTATTTCAGTTTGAATGATACTACATTTTTATTAGTTTATTTAAAAGTAATGACATATTTTTATATTATAAAATAATAAATTTTAGACTACTAATTTTTCCTTGGGTGAATAAACCTTTGTAGATACATAAATGTTGTTGCAGGTTTATGGTCATAAATTTCAAAAAATTATAGATACATAAATCTTATGATATTTGTGAGACCAAAACAAAAAGGTTTAAAATTTTTTATTATTAAATTTAATCTTAAAATAAACTATGTTGCATAAATTAAATTAAAAACAAGGTTGATTTTATGTATAGTGAAAGTACTGAACATATATATTTGGAACTTATTTATGTGCAGGTGAATACAAGAGGGGATTTTGATCTTGCAATGCTACAATCCAAGTTGATGAGTTTATCGTAGGCATAGTTTTCGATTTTTTAATTTGGCACTCGGCACATATTTAAATTATTGTTCATTCTAATTTTCTTTTTGGACTTGATAATTTTAAAACTTTTACCATGTGAACGTTGGCATGTCTGAGTGTGAATACACTTTCTTTTAAGCATGTGAAAAAGAATTACAAAATAGTAACAGTTTTTTATTTTAGATTTTTAATTGCGACATAATCATATACCTAAAATGGTTTATTTGTTCCAAATTGTGTGACTTCTTACTTCTTCTTGATAAATATATCACACATATTTTATTCCAACTTTAAATTTTTGTATTTCTTATTTAGGTGAAACATGTTATTTGTTTCAATGGTGTATTTCTTCTTTTTCGATTCAAATATCTTTAAATACGTAAATCGTTTTAGCCAAAATAATAAATTCCATCATCTTTAATCACATAAACAATTTTAGCCAAAATAATAAAAAGAATTAATTGTGTATTTCTTTTTTTTAGACTAACTTTTTTTAATGGCCTAAATAATGCAATTTCAAACAGATTCTTTAACAAATTTATCACAAAAAATGATTTAAAAAATAATGTATTTTATAACATAAAAGAGATGTTTAAATATTAAAAAGAATATCATATGAACAGAAAATGTTCATGTGACACTGAATGTAACGTACCCTTTTGGAGAGATCATTTAAGGAGTGAACATTCGACATAAGATGCCAAAGTTTAGTAAAGTCTAGAATTATTAAGACTTTATCTTATAAATTGTGAATTATTTTTATTTATTTTTCCTCCTGTGTTCCTCTATCGTTTCAATTATTGTTTTTTGAGTGGATCGTAATAGACTTGTCAATTTCATATTTGTGCTATCTTTTCACTTTAAAACAGAGTGTTTAATCTATACTATTCAATATTTTAAAGAAAAAAAAACTCTAATAAGCAAGAATTGATGACAAAAAACATGACCCTCAAGTATAATCGAAAAAAAAATGTAATCAGAGGTCTCGGATTTGAGTCTTGAATATGGAAATATTGTGATAGAGCGTATTTTCTTCTGAATGAGGCCTTATGTGACATGAATTCAGAATAATCGAACTCTAATACAAGTATCAAATATCAAATGGTTAAAAAAAAAGAATGGATCTTTCAATTTGCAATTAGAGCAATCAAACTTGGTTAGATAGAAAACATTTTTTCCACTTATGTACCTAACCCCTTGTCGTTAAACGTTTGACAATAATTGTACATTAAGGGTGTGTTTGGTATGAAGGAAAACATTTTCCGGAAAATGTTTTTCAATTTTCTCATGTTTGGTTGGGTTAAATGTTTTGGAAAATATTTTCCAAATCAACTCATTTTTTCTCAAATTTAAGGAAAATGACTTCCCTTCAAAACTTAAGGAAAACATTTTCTAAAACTCTCTTCCAACTTCCAATTAAAAAAAAAAAATTGTTGAAAAAATCAATTTATTTGGTCCCTACCCTCAAACCAACCCCTCCAACCCCCCCCCCCCCCCCAAAAAAAAATAAAAAAAAATTAAAGTTTGTTTTTAACTTCAATATTTTTACCCCACACTCACCCCTACCCCCACCCCCTACCACCATCCCTCCCAAAAAAATATTAAAAGTTGTTTTTTAAAAGATATTTCTAATTTCAATTTTTTATTTTTTTACACCCCCACCTCCTACCCTCGCCCCCGCCCCCCAGCCCCTTATCCCACCCCCTTCAAAAAGAAAAAAATTCAAGTTTGTTTTAAAAAAGTATTATTTCATTTTTTCACCCTTACCCTCGACCCCCCTACCCAGCCCCCACCTACCCCCTACCAGCTCCCCCCCCCCCTCCCCAAAAAAGATTTTAAGTTTGTTTTAAAAAAATATTTTCGACTTCAAAATTTCATTTTTTCACCCCTACCCTCGACCCCCCCCCCCCCGCCCTACCAGCCCCCCCCCACCCCCCAAAAAAAAATTTAAGTTTATTTTTAAAAAATATTTTCAACTTGAAAATTTCATTTTTTCCACCCCTACCCTCAAGGCCTCGACCCCCCCCCCCCCCCACCCCCAAAAAAAAATTTAAGTTTGTTTTTAAAAAAATATTTTCGACTTCAAAATTTCATTTTTTTCACCCCTACCCTCGACTCCCCCACCCGCGCCCTACCAGCCCCCCAACCTCCCACCCCCCCCTACCAGTCCCCCCACCCCCCAAAAAATTTTTAAGTTTGTTTTTAAAAAATATTTTTAACTTCAAAATTTCAAAATTTCAAATTTTCACCCCTATCCTCGACCCCCCCACCCCTAAAAAAAATTAAGTTTGTTTTTAAAAAATATTTTCAATTTCAACAATTATTTTCTACTCTAGTAAAAATAAAAGAAATTTTTCAAAAACATTTTTCATTCATAAATCAAACACTAAAAATCTTTTTCGAAAAATATTTTCTACTCACCAACCAAACATGAGAAAATAAGTCAAAAATCAACTTGTTTTCCAAGAAAACATTTTCTAGGAAAATATTTTCCTTCATACCAAACACACCCTAAAGAGTTGTTGGGTAGTTTATTGAATAGAGTTACGTAGCTATTTTAATGATATATATAAGAACTAGTTGTGAGAAAATTTATGTATTATTTTATGATAAGAATAATTATGACAGAATTTATTTATTTATATATTAGTCATTCTATCATTTATCTTGAATAAAATACTTATTAATTTTGAAGAAAAGACATAAATTAACACCTAAAGTTATCTTGAATATTCAAAAAGACACACCTTAACTTTGCAGGCGTTTTACTATCCCATGAAACATTTCAAATCACAATACATACACAATGTTTACACAGCTTGTATTCTATATGCATGAGTGTGTGTCTCACCCCCATTTTTTCCAACCCATTTAGTAAAGATCAAATAAAATCCTGACTCATTCACATTTTAATCTTGACCTGCTCCATTTAACCCTAAACTCCTTTCAGATTTTCACTTTATGTTCTCTCTTTTATGATTAAAACACTAAAGTATTTCAATAGTCAAAACAAATTTGCTTTGCGGTGATAATTTCTTGTATAATGGAGTCAAAACGAAGAAGTGAAGGCTCACATGTTAATGACTTCTTGATTTGAATGCAAATTTTGGTTTAAAAAATCTTTTTATATAGTAGTATTTTTTTGAAAAATCATCGATGTAAGATTTATTGTTATTTTTTCTTGGTTATGTATTATTTATGTGTATGTAGTGTTAGTTTAGGACTTATCTGAGTTTGAATGTTTTTTTCACTTATTTATGTTGAAATTTGTTTTCAATTTCACTTTCAGAATTTGCAAATTAGTTGATTTCATAACTTTTAAAAAAAATAAAAAAATCGAATTTAGTAAAGCTAGAAGAATTTTTATTTTATTTTTTATTTAAAGGAGGACTCCTGGCCCATTTTATTAAGCTAGAAGAAAATTTTGTTCAGGATGGACAATTTTTTTTATGGTTGTAGATGGGAAAGCTTTTCAACATCTATGAATGGAGGTTTTGAAGAAGATGGGAAGTGAGTCTCTTAATGAAGAAGAAAATTCAAATTGACAGTATCACGTGGCATTTTTACATTGGTTTGGGGTGCATTTTTACTCCTCCGTGCGCTCATCAAACGTGTGAACACAAATGTTAAGATGGATCAAAAGTGCTTTTTATTGTGATTTGAAGTGATTTCATGAGGTAATTAGACTCTCACAAATTTTAGGTATTTTTTGAAACATTCGAGACTACTTCATGTCACTTTGTTTCTTTTCTTTTAATTTTATACAAAGTCCTAACCAATTACCAAACATGATATTACCTGATTGGTCATGGGGGTGGGGGATTACACTAATAAGTCTAATTAGTCTTCTAATAATACCAGCTGGCGTCATTAGTGAAATAATGTCATATGTAGAGCAACTAAGTAACGGTAAGGAGGTTCAAGCCCTGGGTATGGAGACAATCTTGTTGGGAGAGTCACCCTGAATGGCCCTACAGTGCACATCCGGATTTAGTGGGGCTCAAATACAGGCTCCGAACACTGAATGGAAAACCAAAATAAAAGAAGTAACAGTAAGGGCATAGTTAGGCCAAACTATAAACGGAGGTCAAACAATTGTGAATTTCGCATACAAAACTGAAACCAGAAGATGAATGCTCATTTGCTTAACAAACCTACACAAACAAGAGCTCCGGAATCAAATAGATTTGTACTGGACAACAAAAAACAGCTGGAAATGGGAAATGAGAAGCTGTAGGCTGATCTCTCAATGGCATTTCACGGAAACTGGAGTTCACCGTTGCTTCTGTATTCTCTTGTCTCGTATAGGCAACTCGATTGGCTTCTGCGCGTCATGAGGATGATCTGGACCCTCATACACCTTAAGATGGTTAAACAATTGTCTACCAAGCTGCACAAACAGAAATGTAAAACAATTTAGAACTGGTTCATTTAAAGAAAATAGAAGAGAAAGTGAGGAAAAGTTTTCTTGTTTTCCTCTCATCTCTCTTGTCAAACAAAAAAGGGATTTTTTTTCCTGCCCTTTGAACGAGTGGTAGGGGTAAAGTCGGCGGTATTATGAATAACCTCCCTTTTAAGCCGAGGGTCTATCAAAAACAACTTCTCTACCCCTCAAAGGTAGGGGTAAGCTCGGCGGGATTACAGTTTGTATGTTGTTGAAATGCTAGAGGAAATGGAATTTTAGTATGGGAGTCCCAAACTCCTAGTCCAACATGATAAGGACACTGTACAATATCTCCTTGGTTTAATTGACACAGCAGAGAAACATCACTATAGGTCATTGAGTGAATGGAATCTCTACAAAAGGTAACACAGACTTACCCTCCCTTTAGGGAGCATGCCACGGACAGCATGCTCAAGGATTCTTTCTGGAATTCTCTGTTGAAGTTGATCAAAAGTCTCTACTGTCATCCCACCAGGTCTTCCTGAGTGCCTCCTGTAAAGCTTTTGGTTTCTCTTCTTCCCAGATACAGCAACCTTTTCAGCATTAACCTTTTGATGTTCAATTACAAAGACAATTGCTCAGATACTAAAGCAACCGTGCAATAGCAGATAGTTTACATTTAAAGGAGATCAGGATAATTTAACCGTTATCGAGTGAAATTACCAACTCAATGATGAAATGGACACTTATCAAGCAGGCAGAAGACATAAATTGACAACATCCATATTCTATTACTTAGGTGACTTCGGAAGGCGGCATTAGAAGTGTCTTACGAATTCCATCCCAGTAAAGAGATAATAGAAGGAATGGGCAGGAAATGAGCATCACCAAGGTTCTTATGCACAGAGATCTCAACATAGTTGAACATAAAATATGCATAATGCAAAACCATATATTAATCAACAATATTCAAATAGGAGGAAAAGAGAAAGGATAAGGAGAGCGGGTGGACCTCTAAATAGAAATCACATTCCATTCTTAATAAACCTATAGAAGCAGAGTGATCTGCATATCAAAAAATTGGTGGAACACCTTAGAATCAATATCATACTGATATGAAGATCAAACTGTCTGGATATCATGAATTTTTTTTATCGGATATCCTCGAAGGGACCTGTTGCACTTTTTCTTTTAAAAAGAAATGGTTCCAAAGGGAAGAAATCTTAAGGTTTGCTTGAATATAAAATTAAAAGAGCACAAAAATACTTCCAAATTTCTTAAACCAGACCTATATAAATTGAAAAACTCATACTTAAATATTCTATATAAGCTGGGGGAACTAGAAGAGAAAAGATATCGCCACTTGAACAATTATGAAAAAGGAAGAACATTGCAAAATGAAGAAACCTTCAGAGAATGCATGTGGTAGCGTAAAGTTATGGTGGATTAGCCACTTATCATGATAATGTAAAAGGGAAAAAAAAATTCAATTCCCACATCATATTTTCATGGCCTATTACCAACTATCAAAGTCTTTTAAAACTACATGTCCTATATTCTATTAAGAATCAAAGAGAGGCCTTAATAGAACCAGAAAGTCCTAATACGAAAAGTAGGACTTGTCCGGTTGTCTCTTCTTCTTTGTAATCACAATGCAGAGAAATGAACAAGCATTTAGCACAGGAACATACCACTATTACAAATGCACCCATATCCACACTTGGAGTGTATGTTGCCAGATTTTTCCCTCTGATATGTATTGCTATAGTTGATGCCAATCTTCCAAGAATTTTATCGGTGGCATCAACAATGTACCAAGGTTTGTCTGTGTTCACATGGTCTACACCCTTGGGATACCATGTTTCATTCCAAATGTCCTGGATGCAGGAAAAACACAATGACATCCATCAGATAAAAACTCTTCTATGCACTCATTAAGATCAAAAGTTATGTCAAACCACTGAAGCATAATTAAAGCAAGGAAATATGTTCTTTGTTAAGTTCACTTCTCAAAAGCAATGCCCCACAGCCTTTCCCCCTTTTGTTTTCCTTTAAATGCTGCCTGAGCTTTTAATCGCCACAAGTCGATGATAATTGCTCTACATTAGTTTGATATGGCCCTTGACATCTCGTATTTCAGGTATCAGAAGAACCATTGACGCATTATCAACAGAAGCTAGCATAGGTAGTCGGGATTAAAGAAGAAATGGGACAGCAGATTTTGCGGTAGTTCTGTATTTTACTGCTTTCCACATCAAGTAGTATATTGTGGGCAAGAGAAGAAATAAACGCCGAGGTACAATAAGAAGTAATCAAAGATATCAACGGTACGGTTCTGACCAACAGAAAAAGTACCTCTAAAACAACTAACTGGAAGCTTAACCCAATCGTGATTCTCAATGAACTTAAAGCATGGTATTTGTGCCAACAACCTAGGTTTCAACTCTCACCTATAATTCTCCTCTAAATCACAAACATAGCAAATTCTGCCCAAAAAATACAGATATAACAACTTGCTGAAAACAACCCCAAGCAAAGTCTAACTGAACACCAAATTAAGAATAAGCCGAAGTCTTTTACAAGTTAAATGTCGAAAACAAAGTACTCCTATGAACCAAGAAGAAAAAAGGATGGTCTATAAAATTATCTAACTGGAAGCGGAGCTCAATTCTTGATTCTCAATTGAACTTAAAAGCAGGGTATATGTGTCAAGTTCATAGGTTTCAATCTGATCTATAAATCTCTTTTTAATCGCAAACTTAGCAAATTCGCCCCAAAACTAAATAGATAACATCTTGCTCAAAACAACCCTGAGCAGAGTCCAACCCCATACTTTTGCCCTCTGGGTCGAGCTCGTCGCACCGGGCTTGCCTAGTGCGGGTTACCTCTCCTATGTGGTTTGCGAGCTATTGCATAGGAGCGGGGATTTTACCTTGTGCGCACCCAAAGGGTAGCGGGGGTTTCCCTTGTCATAAAAAAAAAAAAAAAAAAGAGTCTAAACCCATACCAAATTAAGATGAAAGTTGAAATCTTTTACACTTTTAATGTGGAAAACTAAGTACTCCTATGACTCGAGAAGAAAAAAGGATAGTCTATAAAATTATCAATTTTCACAATAACCCGAATATCCCAGAAAAAGTACCTCTAACTGGAAGCTGAGCTCAATTCTTGATTCTCAATGAATTCAAAGCAGTAGTAGTCAAGCGCTGTCTAGTTTTCCCTATCAGATGTATTAGTATTACTCTCCTACTATCTTATTCTTCGACTTTTTATCACGTGTTGTTTCTATTACCTTTTGCTTAGTTATTGCTAGTGTTCTTTTCTCCATTATTTTCAACATGGTTTCTTCACTACTGTATTTCCTTTTCGGCCGAGGTCCTTCAAAAATAGACTCCCTAATTTCACAAGGTGTAATGAAGCATACACACTACCTCCTCAGACCCCACTTGTCGGACCATATTGACTATGTTGTATATGTGCCAGCTACCTAGGTTTCAAATTTCAACTCTGACCTATACTTCTCTTCTTAATCACAAACATAGCAAATTCTCCCCAAAACTAAATAGATCTCAAAACAACCCTGAGCCTTAAAGTTCAAATGCATATCAAATTAAGACTAAAGTTCAAGTCTTTTACACCTTAAATGACTAAACTTAAGTACAGAAGAGAAAAGGGTAGTCTATAAAATCCTCAATTTTCACAATAACCCAAAAATCCCAAAGCAAAAAAAGCAAAATCAAGACAAGTAATCAACAAAAAAGATAAAAGAAAAGTTGTAAATACTTACAGGACCATTAATTTCAGAGTCTTCAAACATCCATCTTTGTTCCAGAGGAACAAGTGCTGTCTTTTCTTGACAACAAATTTGAGTAGCTCGATGGGTCTTAGCAACAACAATGGAGGGCTTTGAAGAGATGGAGAAACCCAAGAAAAGGGTCTTATTGGGAGAGGAAGAGAAGGTTTTTGCCGGTGAATGTGAGGCAAATATTACAGAAGAAGAAGAGCATTGCACAGCCATGGAAAATGGCTGCAATGGTATAAAGTGGATAAGAGATAAAAAGATTGCAGGGGGGTTTATTTTTATTGTTATAACTTACTACTCTCTCCGTTTCATAACGAATGACCTGATTTGACTTAGCACGAAGTTTAAGTAAATAAAGAAGACTTTTGAATCATGTGGTCCTAAATTAAAGTTATGTCAAATGTACAAAATTGCCCTTAAACTTGTGATCTTAAACATGTCACGTGGAAAACAAAAAGTAAAATGTTACCAAAAAAGGAAAGAGGTCATTCTTTGTGAAACGGAGAGAGTATATATTATGAGCAAAATAGTCAAACAAAGTAATTCCTCTATTTTACTTTGCTTGATTCAAAGTGAAAATTGGTATGAATTTAGATATAATTTTTTTTATTATTTATCTTAATTATTATTTGGTCAAAAATATTTTCTTTGATCATAATTTTGTAAAAATATTTTAAATCATTAACTACTTTTTAAAAAAAAAAATCAAATTTGTATTGAGAATAGACCTATTTACTTATATTAGTCTTTAATAAACATCTTGTCCTTAGGCTCGTAATCTCACTCAACTTAATTGATTTCATCTTCAAGCATCAAAGTTGGAAAAGAATGGGGCTCAATTATTTAAATTTGTCCGAGAAATCTCATTTTGAGGATAAATGTTTCTTATTAAATGTAATTTAATGAAAATTATTTAACATAAACAATATTGAAGTAGAGAAGTTCTCCATTGACATATGCAGTTAATACATAAATAATGAGAGAATATTTTTTCGACACGAATTTAGAGCCCTAATTATCGATTCACATGAATCCAATAATTTTTTTTGAACATATATATGAAATTTTTTTATTAAATATTGATGATTATTTGTTCTTAAGTATTACTTTAATATTAACTTAAGGTCGTCGTAGGAATTAATATATTTGGGGCTACTATTGACACACAATTCTAAATCCAAGGATCTAATGTGCAAATTACCCCAACAAAGAACCTTAGTTCCGGTTCCAGCGACTCACGGTTTATTGACGACTCCACGGCTTCCGGAGTCTTACGTGAGAAGCTCTAAAGCTTCTTTAAAAATGGCTTTTTCAACTCTTTCAATGCCAAGACTTCCATTACTTCTCCATTTTCAAAGACCAAAGCTTTCATTTTTAACCTCAAATCTCCAAACCCCATTTGACCAATTTCCTCATTTGTCAACTCTAAACCCTAGACATCATCAGAGATCATCAATGAAAGCACAAGCATCAGTGTCTGATCTTGGAATTGTCGAAAGAGCAATTCAATTGGTCCAATCTTCACCACCCACGTGGCAATCTGCTTTGCTGAGTAATATCATCATCTTTACTTTGGGTTCTCCACTTTTAGTCTCTGGTTTGTCACTTTCTGGTATTGGGGCTGCTTTCTTGCTTGGTACTCTTACTTGGAGAGCTTTTGGGTCTTCTGGGTTTCTTCTTGTTGCCACATATTTTGTTATTGTAAGTAAAAATTTGAACTTTGTTAGTGTAAGTGTTGTTTTGAGGATTCTACTTTGTATAAATTATGCTTATGTATATTTTAGATCAATGGGAAAATGAAGTGGAATACTTAATCATGAATGCTTGCTTGCAAATCCCTCTTTCTTTGTTTGGTTAGTGGAACCTTATTAGCAAACATGAAAATGTATTCATATTAACCGATCTAGATTGTCGAATTAGGTCTCACACCCCACGAGCTAGCTTAAAGGGAGTAGGATTGACCAAGCCATATAACTCATCCCTCAGCGATGTACTATATTTCTCGTCAACCTCCCAATGCCAAGACCATTCTGAAGTAGAGCATGTACATTCATGGACCGCATGGTGATCCCCCGTCAATTGGTGTGGGGGGCCACATTCGATGGGCTTAGCTCTAATATCATGTCAAAGAAATGGATCTTGAGTCTAACTCAACTTCAAAAGCTAACTCATGAATGTACACGCTCCAGTTCGGAAAAAGGTTTGGGCGTGAAGGGGTTGTTGAAGAGAAATATACGACATCGGTGAGAAATGAGATTCTTGGACTCCTTATAATTTATATAGCTTTGGCAGGCGTCCTCCCTCTTGAGCTAGCTTGTGGGGATGAGTTAGATCCAAGATCCATTTGTGAATGTGGTATCAGTGCAGACAAAGGTACTGGGATCTAATCTAACTGTCACCCATTATCAAAAAAGATTTTCCACGTGTTTGGCTCATGAAAAAAGTAAAGAATCAAGCCCACACGTGAGGGGGCCTGTTGAGAATATAATAAATGTGTGCTCTCTCCAACAACTTAATATTTGAGATGAGAGTCACACACTTCAACATAGATAATCTCTGGGATGTCTTTCGAGTGGAAATAATGATGGATATTATTGTCATATGCTGTCCTGCTTAGGCTGATGATTCTGATAAAAAAATGTTTGGACTCTTGGACTAATAAGTTAAACCAAACAGGGCACAGCTGCGACTAAGGTGAAAATGGCTCAGAAAGAGGCTCAAGGGGTTGCAGAGAAGAGGAAAGGAAGGAGAGGACCTGGAAGTGTGATAGGCTCCAGTGCAGCCGGTTGTGTTTGTGCATTCTTATCAATTAATGGTGTTGGTGGGGAGGCATTTACTCGCCTGTGGGAACTTGCATTTGTAGCCAGTTTCTGTACCAAGTTGAGTGATACTGTCTCGAGCGAGATAGGAAAAGCATATGGCAAAACTACGTGAGTACAGCCTCTTCACCTCTGGCTAAATACTAAGAATTTGATGTACTGAAAACAGTGACTTGTTTATGTAGAAACTGGAAATACATTCTTTAATTGTTTCTGGAATTCTGTTAATTCTCAAGTATAAATTAGTGAAAAACACGCTAAAGGTATTTTACATGTAAAAAATGAAGACTGAAAATTTATCCTTTGAAAACCCAAGGACTTGTAAAAGTCTCATAATTTTGTAGAATTGCCAGTCGGGGCAGCTTGCATGTACCTCTACTATTTCACTGGGTACTTGCTACCTCCCACCAATACATGTACCGGTTAACACCACCTATCAAGGCGTAGTAGATGGGAAGAAATCACCTGGTATTCTTTTTTGTCTCATTTGGGATTTGAATCATGGTCTCCAATGTTTGCACTTTGTACCCGCTTCGTTGACCAGTAAGCCACGCCCGTAGGTGCTAGAATTGCCTGTCAGTATTGCAGCATGCAATTTTACATAATTTAGTTTTCATCTTAGGTAGTTAGGTGCGTGATGAGCTCTGTGACTTAACACTTTTGTGGAGTGTGGACTGCTATTTGTAGTTATATACAATTTTAGATAGTACTAGCTACAAAGTTTTATCTCCTTTGGAAGGAAATCGTAAGCAACTCAGACCACTTCTCGCTTTTTTTTTCCTCAATTCTGTCATCAGCTGGAGCAGATGACTCTCTTTAAGAATTGTCTGCTGAGTACTTGCACAACAATTGCAGGTATCTTGTCACCACATTCAAGGTAGTGCCTCGGGGCACTGAAGGGGCTGTGAGTGCTGAGGGAACCTTAGCTGGGCTTCTTGCTTCAGTTCTCCTTGCTTTTGTTGGTTATCTAAAGGGTCAGGTATACCTTCCAAAAATGGTTCTAAATTTTGAAACTTTTTGCTTTGTGGCTATATGGTTTCTGTTTTATAAAGTACAATAATCTGGAGATACTAGTCTATAATGGGATTAAGGATATGGAAACAAAAATGTCACGTTTAATTTTTTTGCATCTAGGTTCTATTTATATGATTTAACTCTTAAGTCCCTGAGGTCTACAATGGTCCAGGTTGAGGCCATTAAAGAATTTTGGTGATCAGAAATGTTGGAGAAAAAATTGGGAACAAAACGCATTGAAATTGTTGTGGGGAGTAGCTGTAATAGAATTTTGGTATAGGGAGTAGTTGGAGAAGAAAGTGTTGGACTTCTTTATCAGAAAGGAAGTGTTGGACTAACTGTGGGCACTATTGCGGGCTCAATGGGCTGGGATTCATGTTTTCACAGGATTTTTTGGCTTATTGCTTGAGGTTGTGAGGAAGGAAGGATTGTCTTTTTGCTGTACTAGCATAATATATTGTTTGTGATGTTGAAGTATTTCGTCTACCCTCAATTAATGTGGAATGTTCTGCCTATCAGTATCTAATCTGGCGAGGATTGAAGGTTATGACTTATGAGTCTCATATCACTCTTGATAGTCTCCAAGTTATCATAGTTTTTTATTGTATTTTAAACTTATAGATGTATCCTTTTGAAGCCTTGTTGATAGAATCATAAAGCGTGTAATTGAAAGTGGTTGCATTGTTTTAGCAATCCTATTCTTCTCCTTTCCCTTCTAGGATTAGTGTGAACATATTGAGTTTTTCGTGCTATGAAGATGTGCAAGGCTGGAGTGATAATTATGTGTAGTGTTTCAGACAAAGAGGGTACTAACTAATTTTCAGACAAAGTGAGTACTAACTATTTTTCTATCCGAATATACTATGACATGGGTGATTTTCGATGAAGGTAAATCCTTGCATTATATCACCTGATTGGCTGATATCTTCGCAAATGTTTAGGGCTGAGCACCCGAGGCAGGGAGATTTCCATGGTTTTAGCCCATCTAGAATATCTTTATTTTATTTTGGATCAGTTAACTGTGGAAACATTCACTACATCTATAGCTTTGTCTTACCCGTGCTGAGAGACAAATACAAATACCATTTATTCTACTCTCTTCATTTTTTCGTTTATTACTTTGATTCAACTTTTAGGAAGACCTATTCCGTATTCTGACCAGAATTATTTTTTTCCAGATTAACATACCTGGGGCTGCGATATGTGTAGTTGCCGCCCAGATAGCAAACTTTGGTGAAAGTCTAATAGGCGCTTCACTTCAAGAGAAAGAAGGATTTCGTTGGGTATGTACTTTTCTGAACAGATGTCTTAACGTTTACTCGGAGATGTTAAGTAATTCACTCACCTTTTTTGTCCCTTGATGTTCAGCTAAACAATGATGTTGTCAACGTCATCAACATATCCTTGGGAAGTATCTTGGCTGTCCTAATGCAGAAAATAATACTCCAAAGTTAGCTAACTTAAATCTATGCACATACTTGTAGTGTGGAGCTTGAATTCCCGCCTTTCATTGTATACAGAGTGGAACATATAGTCGAGACATAAAAGAGACCAGCAATGGGACTTAGAGGTGGATAGAAACGAACACTCGTTAGAATATTCATGTTGTTGAGAAACATTTCTGCTAAATCACTCCCTATTCCAGTGGCAAATGTATTGTTTCCCTTAGTATTGTACAGAGTTTTATATTTGGTTACTCAACAAAATAGTTTATGCAAGATCCCAGGCATAATCATCAATCATCATATATCATATCATATTATAAGTGGGAAGGTGAAAAGTTAGATTACCATTTTACCCCTAGACTAAATTAAATAATGAATAGTAAAATTTAAATTAACTAAGACTAAATACACGTTCTAGGGTGAGTTAATAATCAAACATCTAATTAATTTAATAGTAAAATTAAAATTACCTCAAGGGTTTATAGTAAAATTTTAAAAGATTGAAAACTTAATTACACATTTTAGTGATATTACATAAGAAGTTTAACAGCCCTATTTCTAGGTTTACTTGCATTTCTATATTAATACTCCACATTTTCTAAAGGTGTGCGGTCCTTTTTTTAATCATCTCCCTGTTAAAATTCTTTCTAAAGTAAATTTTCTATTCCAACGTTCTCAAGGCTGAATTCTACTTATATGAAGTATAGATTAAACATTATCCATAAATGATACTCCCTTTGTCCCTAATTATTTATCCATTTTTGAATTTGCATACTTATTAAGAAAACAATTAATGACATAGTGAGTTTATCATTTTACCCCTATTAATTATGAAGTGGATGAAAAATTCTACATTTTTCAAAGTAATTAGTTATTTAATTGAGGGTATAATAGGTAAAAAAAAAATGTCCTTTCTTGATTTATCAAAATGGACAAGTAATTAGGGACAACTATAAAAGGAAAAGTGGATAAATAATTAGGGACATAGGGAGTATTAGCAGAAGAAACTCAAAAGACTAAGCAAATAATTAAATGCTTGGAATGTGAAAAGATATATTTTTAGATAATATCAATTGTACATGTATGTATAGCCTAGAATAATTACTGGTATATGAAAAGACCCCCCATTTACCCGATTAATGCTACTGATTTTATTTATTTGATTTATTACTAAGGTATTAAAAGTGTATTATTATATATGAATGAATTAATATCAAATTAATAATTAATGAGATGGTTTGTAATTGCCTTATTTATTAATTACAATGATTTATATTTTTCATCTTCTTATCCATTCAAAGTAGATTAGATTTCACATTCAGAGCAGTAATTAGTGGCAATGTTAATTCTCTTACTTAGTCTAATTATGATTTGTATTTTTCATCTTAATTTCCATCTATATATTAAAAGACTATTATTTAGAACTGAAAATAGAATTTGAACAGACATTTTCATATTATTTAAGAACTGGATGATAACCATTGAAAAATGAAAGAAACTCATGTCATTCAACTTGAGAAGAGGATAATAAAAAAAACTATCGCATTTATATATGATAGGCAAAAAAGACAGGAAGAAATGGTGTAAAGGAGTAAATAGAATACATGGGAGAAGACTTCTTTTTAGATATGCCTAAGTCCTCATATCTATTTCGATTCTCCATTAGGAAGATTATTGTTTTTTATAATTTCTTTTGCATTTCTAATGAACTCATTGTGGTGTTGTGATCTTTTAGCTATTATTATGAGCTTTTGGAATAGTTGTATGTATGAAGTTCAATTTGTTAATTCTTTATCTGTCACTTTTATATTTTGGATGTAATTGCTTTTTAATCTTGTAAAATTTTGAAAGTGTATCTTCACAGAAACTAGTACAATATATAAACGTGTCTAGTTTCAACTTGGCCTCAATTGACATCTATGATCTCTGCTCTCCAACCTTGGTTGTACACAAATGGACACTTATAATACTCGTAGAATGTGAATTGCATGTATGAGGCATGTGTTACTTGCTTTAACTTTATATAAGTTTAAATGTCTACCCAAAGTTAGAGGACAGGAATCAGATTAGATCAAGTTAAGTGGTACATTTATGTATTACGTCAAGATACAAATTGTAAGTACTTGTAGATTACTAATTTGAATACAATTAGTGTCAGACTCATTACTGATGTAATCTCATTTATAGTATAACAAAGAAGCAAAAAAAAATTCTATTTTCTGTTTTGATAATTCTTTGTCTCAGTAAGACAAATCAAACTATGAGAACTATGTAATTGTCTTTTACCTAAAAACACTTGCTTGAGAATCCACATGTTTATTCTTTTTTTGTAGTTGAAGCAATTGTCTCTTTCGAGCCATCCAATTTGGAAGATTTAAAAGTAAAAAAAAAAAACGATTATATAAAAAGATATGTTGAATGTGTGATAGTAATATATAGGGAAAATTAACGATTATAATTTTTAAAATATGGTTATGGGAAAAGTTACGTGGAAGCATCGATCCACCAAAGAGGATGCAATACTTATCACTTCCTCCGGTTCACTTTACTTGTCATAGTTGTTATTAAAATCAAATAGTTTAAAATTAGTTGTCACACGTATTTACCCCCCTCCACTTATATATTATGATTTAACATACAGCAAATTCAAATATGTGATGTGATGCGTGCATCTAACTAACGTATCACTTGTTTCATTCACCGACGAGGTTAAGAGTGTTATATATATTATGATGTATCGGCTAATGATGTTCAACTAATCACCCGTCAATTTATGTAGCTCTGCTACTAGACTTTCACTCTCATTACTATTCACACCCTCTCTTCAAAAAAACAAAAGTACCTTATATAATGAAGTAAAAACATAATAAATTCTTATTGTTAGAAATTTTAACTCCGTCACTAATGGTGAATTCTTATTTCTTACTATGAACTTTAGAATGTTTATTATTATGGTAATTGGTATCTGAAATTTAAGTAGTGTTTTCTAATTATTTGAAAAGGAGTTCAAACCTACTGTGAAAAACATTTATACCGTCTTTCTCTTATCACTGAATCGGCAATCAATTTTATTAGAGATTCACAAGTTAATATACATATATATTTATTTAATTTTTTAGTATAAATACAAAATCTACAAAAAAATTATTGAATTCATCCGAACTCACGAACCTCCACCTATCCCCGTCTCTTTGAACACATCATATATTCATCCCATATCAAAATCACCACAAGGTGTCCAATTAAATTCTTAAACAGTAGGCAGTAGATGACAGCTAAGTTAGTTGATTATTCAATTTCAGATCCATAATGAAAAATAGCGATAGGTAAAGCTTTAAAGTATTAATTTCAGGGTTTGCTTTTTTCAGTTCAATCAAAAAGATGGAATTTGTATTTGTTAGATTTTAAGTAATTGATAGTTATGAATATGAAAAGGAAATAGCAACGTCAATTACGGAAAAAAGCATTCTTAGTATTAATAATTCTCGATTTTAATTTAGTATATTATTATTTGGAGAAATAAACAATAATTTCAAATTGTACTTTCTCATTTTATATATATATAATATTTTGAGTTATTAGCTTGATTGACTACTTTTGGTGTAATTTTAAGTATATTAGTTTTGTTTGATAAATTTATAACTAATATTAAAAATTTTAATTTAAATAATTTAAACTACTTCATATAAATTGAAACGAGATTATTATTTATTGCTCCGACAAATGAAAAGATCAAAGATGACAAAAGAAAAAAAAATTGAATGGGAGCCACTGCACAACTTTTTCAAAGTTAATTAGTGGAAAGGGAAAAATTCCTTGCTAATCCTTTAGTTTTTGTATGGATTTGACATCTTGAACTCATATTAATTCTCTTAATTTAGTTTAGGGACCAAAACATATGAGAGAGGTAAAACCTCTTTATCTCAAATAGTATTCAAATTTTCTAACTAAAATTGAAAGAATTTCAACGTTTATGACATCTTTTGATGATTATATATAAACCTTTTAATGGGAGCGAATTCATGTAAAACGATGTGGAGTTCATGTACACTCATGATCTCCTCTCTAGCTATGTACAATAGTGTTATAGGAGTAACAATAAATCTAGGAAGTGCGCGCGCTCAAGCTTAAATTTTTTTACTATTATATATTGAATATTTGATGCACCTCGATAGATGAGGTTAGAAATTTCAAATTTCAGTTTTCTTTCGTTGTTTTTTCTATATCTTATGGCTTATAAAATAAAAGTTATAAATTGGAAATTCTAACTTGTGATTTCTGATTTGTTTTTGTTATTTTAATCTAAAACACAAGTATTTAAAAATATTTTTTTATTTTACTTAAACACAATAAAAATACTAAAAAGTTATTTTGACTATTAAAAAATCATAAAATCAATTCAAACCGACTCTAACTACTTTCTTTTAAAAAAAATAATTTGGAGTACTCTATTAAATCTCTAAAAAAAAAGATATTACTCCTAAATTCTTCTTTGGTCACTGAAAAAAATTATATAATGAAACTAAATTAGTTACGCATTTATTGCGCTAACAAATGAAAAGATGGGAATATGACAAAGAAAAAGTTAGATGGGAGCCATTGCACGACTTTTTCAAAGTTAATTAGTGGAAAGGAAGAGATTCGTTGCTAATCCCTTTAGTTTTTGTATGGATTTGACATCTTAAACCCAGATTAATTCACCTAATTTAGATTTGTGCTCAAAAGATCTAATCAGAGAGGTAAAACATCTTATCTTAATTATTTTTTATTTTAAACTATTAAATTCAAAATTTATAATCAAGAGTGAGAACATACAATGTCTTACTAATTTCAATGTGAAAATTACTCTATACACTTTAATCTGTTTGACCTTTTCAATTTTTCACATTACGTGTTTAAAATCACAATGATTAAACGACATTTTGATACATTCTACATATCTTTAGTTAACAACCACAAGATTCAAAACACATTCTTTATTTTCATGAACTCTATGTCAAGTCAAAATCAGATAAACAATTAATTAAAATAAAAATTAATTA